CCCAGGTGTTTATCTCGCGCAAATTAACGAGCGAACCGTTCCAGGAACGGAGGGGGAGCGGAGGAACGTTCAATTAATGGGGCCCGGAATATTCGTCCGGCTCTCCGCCATTCTGGTTTTTCAGGTTCTCGGCGTTTCACGGATTCGCCTCGACCGACGTCGAATTGATGCACGAGGCTCGTGTTTTATTTATTCGAATAGCTCGGGCCCCGTTTTTCCGCTCTCTACGCGATCTCGCAGGCCTCTTATCTGCCTCCACCTCGAGGCCTGAGGGTTTTCGAGGTTGAGGGGGAGGGGGCCGATTGATTTGTTGGTTCGTGGGAAGGAAACACGAGCATTATCCGCGAGAATATACGCGTGATCGGGATTTGTCGAACTCTTAATTCGATTCGTGTTCTCGAGAGAAGTGTAAGAGCAAGTTTTATATTTCTTCGATTAATTTAGAATGTTTTTCGATGTTGAGAGTAATTATACTTATACGTGCAATTATTGAAAAATGTTGGATCGATCTTTAAAATCTATAGATGTTTTTTTTTTACAAATTTCGATAATCGTGTTGGTTCTCGATCATTGGTTATTTTATGTTAATGGATATAATAATAATCGAAGTGTGCACTTGGAGTTGAAGTTGATATATGAATAATTGTTTAAATATATATCGTGAATAAAAATAAGGAAGGATAATAGAAGAAAATTAAATTTATTTTTTATGTTATCTAAAATTATTTATAAATCAATTATGATTCAATTATTAATTATGATTCAATGATTAAATTATTATTACACAACTATTTATAAATATGATATTTTAAACCATATATATAATATTTTTTTAAAAAAATAGACTTATTTTATATTTATATTTTATTTTTACACGAATATATATGACTTCTGCATAAATACATTATGTATGCAACTGCAAGTTATTCATATACAAATGTTACACAAGTGTGAATATTTATATCGCGTTTGACATTTTTCAAAATTATAATAACAATGAATAAATTATTCATAGAGCAGTTTTTTTTTTACTTACTTTCCATATAAATAAATTTTTACTATTATCAATTGTACATCATAATTTTTCATTGTTATTATATATTATAATCAAAACATCGATCAAAGATAAGTTAAAAAATTTTCACATCGTTCTATCTCTTATAACTACGAATCACTGACTCACTGTCATCACTGTAAACATCGATACACGTGTAATAATAACAGAATGAACGTAACGAATCGAGAACATAAACTTGAAAAAATATAAACATATATATCATCGAAAAAAAAAGAGAAGAAAAGAAAAGAAAATGATTCTCCTCGACGTTTAATGTGTTTATTAATTCGATCAACGGGAATAAAATTCCATGCAACGATATAAAATCGTATCGATAAGAATTTCGAACCAAAAAAAAAAAAAAAAAAAAAAAA